TGTGTCAGTGAGTGACTCTACACATGTCGAGCCTGCACGTGCCAGGTGCTGAGTGTCAGTGTGCATGGGCTGCATGCATGTGCGTTTTCTAGTGTGCCCAAATGTGAATGTACACGTCCTGTTTTGGACACTATACAAGTGTGCTGGTGTGTACAGTACTTTGCACACATATGTGCTGATTTGTGCATGTGTTGTGTGCATGTGTATTAAATTGCACACTCTCAAGTGTGAGTTTGGACACAGCTCTGTGTTTGTGAGTGTGCACAAGCTCTGTAGGGGTGAGCATGGCCCTGTGTGAGATACATGCGTTGTGTACATTGCTGTGTGTATGTGTGTTGAATTACACACTCTGTAGTGTAAGTTTGTGCACAGCTCTGTGTGTGTGCTGCTGACAGGTACCACTGTACAGTGGGGCTCTGTGCAAACGAGCAAGTACCTGTGTGTGTGTGCACTACTGGCTCTGCACGTGCCCCTGGGTGCACACATGGGCTGGGCACACCCAAAGACAGCTCTAGATACACAGCACTGTGCGTCCGGCTGCTGAAAACAGACAAGTCTATGTGTGCGTGTGTCGCTGCTGAGCTTTGCTAGCTAGAGTAGCCCCTAGCTCTCTTTTTCTCATAGAAAAAAAGTATTTGCCTCTGCATTTCCCTTTTATAGCTGTTAAAGCAAAAAGAAGCTGCCTGCCCTAGAAAGAAGGGTAGGCATCCTAGGCACAGCCAGTCCCTTTATCCCTTTTCTCTGGGAGAACTGTCCTTTCCATGACCCCAAGGGCTGGACAGCCTGGCAGAGCTGAAAACCCAGCTGGGTACAGGAAGAGCAGGTGGCTGTTGCCAAAAAGCTTTTGCTAAACCCAGAAAATTTTGGGCAATGCTGATTGTAAATCCTGATGTAGTGCTGCCTTCCTCTAGTCACTGTCCCTGTACTGTTGAGTGGGTAACTGCCAATATTCTTCCTCTCTAGACCTGCTTGCTCTACCTTGATCAAAAAGGAGACCCCTTTTAGTCTTTTTTAATAGTTGCCAGTCCTGTTTGTCACCTTTCTCATAAAGTCACCCTCTTCCATCCTATGTGCAGCCCATGGTTTTAATCAGTGACAGCAATAACCAGATCGGTGACAGCAATAACCAAATTGGTGACAGCTGCCACTTGTGCCTTTCACTTATCAGCATAGAACAACAGCATTTTCTCTTGTCCTGAGAAAAGTCCATGCCACTGGCACATCTCCACAGCCTAGAGGGGCAGACACCCAAGTCTTTGCCAGTGCAAACAAGCCTAGAGCATCCTAGAGACCCTGAGAACCAAAGATTGGCGGAGGGCGGGGGTGGGGGTAACCTGCTGGGGGTAAACATTGCTGCTACAAGAAACCTGAGCCGGGATAAATCCACCTATTTATTAGAGAAAAACTACTTGCACTTTTAGGTTGGGCTTTTTATGCTGATGGATTTCTTTTTACCTGTGAGTTCAACTAAGATAACTGCAGTGTTTCTGCCGGATGTGATGGCCAGGGGACATCTGCCTGCAGTTCATAAACCAGCATTACAGTTCTAGTCTGGCCAGCAAGAAGACTGACTGACTTCTGCTGCTTCTTGCTTCTCCTGTAAGCCCCCAAGATGTCCAAAAAATAGAGTCATGCTTCCACCAGCCAGCTCAGAGACTGTTTTAAGTAACACTTTAGGTGGAAAATTTAAATCGTATTAATATAATTGTCCTATTTTAATAGATGGGGATTGCAAGTATCAGTTGAGGGAAGGTACACAGGGAACAGTGAGAAGTGCTAGGATAATTCATTTAGGAGTTAGCAAGTAGAATAAGACAGGAACCAGAGGGCAAAACCGGGTTAGCCCCTGTGCTTGTCACCAGGAAGATTATATAGCTCTGCCGTGGGCAGCAACCCTGTAGGCATGGTAAGGTGGGGGTACAAGCTATACTGGACTCCTACCATTCCTCAATTCTCTCTTCCCTCCAGAATCTAGTACAGATACAACTGACAAGTAGATTAAGTCAAGAATTAGATATTATTAGATTAGAATTAGAATATAGAATGGGCCTCCATATTCTCCAGCAAGATACACCTGCCATGGGTAGCAACTCCATAGGCACGGTAGATGGGGGTAAAAAGCCAAACTGGACCTCTGTGATTCCCTTTTGTCTACTCCAACAAATTCATGTCAAGGAAAATTCTAAAGGTTTTTTTCTTTTCCTCCCACGTCCCCACCCATATCAACAGATACTGTTAATTGCTTGATCCAAATGACTTAGAGAAAAGGGTTTTTTTTTTATAGGTGGGTAATGTGATGATTGGCTCTGGCAATTAAGAGATGAATATTATGTGTATGTTGAGAGAAGTTATATTGATGCATAGTTACGTTACTGTGACTTGTTATTTCGACATTCTCTGTTCTCCCCACAGTCCCTTTCCCCCCTGGATGGTTGCCAAGGCACGGCCTTGGTAGTCGGGACCTGTGTCAGGAGGGCGAGTTCCTGAGCCCTTGCTTGGGCAGCTGGAGCGGGCAGGCTCCTCACTGAGAGGCGGCAACACCTGAGCTGCAGCCAGGGTGCAAGAAAGCAGCTGCAGCCATGGACAGCGAGGAAGAGCTGACTGATGGACTCTGTGAGGGGCCAGGGCTGCCTGATGCAACCCCAGGGGTGTAAAAGGTGGAGCAGTCATTTTGTAGAGAGCTCGTGGCTGCCACGGTCACCAACTCCCAGTGTGCGCTGCCCTTTTTCCTTGTTCAGTCCTTTGTTCTATTTGTTAAGGTTTTTATTGAACCTTTGAAATTTTTAAAAGTGAGCATTGTTTCTCATGGCTGTAAGCTGTTTTGAGTACTACAGTATTTATTAATTTTTTTCATAAAATCAGATCTCTATTTTCAAATCCAGCTTTGAAGAGTCCATATATTTATTTAAGAGTTGGACTTGATGACCCTTGTAGGTCCCTTCCAACTCAGAGTATTCTGTGACTTTTACATATTCCTTTTCACCTGCTTTTCTAAGGAATATTACTGAGAACTATTTTGTCTCATCATTTTGTTTCTACATATGATTACTAAGCACTGTAGCACAAAGATCTCTAATTTTAACAACACAATCCTTTAACATTCCAAGGAGTCTAAAGAAAAGAATGGACCTTTGAATAAACAATAAAATCTATTTCTTGATAAGCAGGCACATAAAACATAATTTAGATTTTGAAAAATAATATTGAAAACTGCATTATCATAATACCATGCTAAGCATTAAAATGTTTTGTAATGGTTTCAAAGGCAATAGAAAATAATACAGCTAAATCCTTCTGTAATTCAAGCTGGTCAGGGTCTCTTCTTTTTTAAAACCATACAGTTTTTTCCACTGAGAAATGTTCTATTTTAAAGAAAGGTCTTACTAGCTGCAGAAATTCAAGGAGAGACACCTGGGATGTGGAAAGTCAGGCTGAAGTCCCTCTTCCACCTAATTCTCTTAGCCTTATACCTCCTATTGGAGCTGTTCCACTTTGTATAAATAACCAAATACTCACAGGAGTCAGATCTTAGAGCAAGGTCTCCAAAACCCAGCATGTGCACTCTATTCCTTCAGCTAGAGTATGATTCTATTTTTGACACTGAAAGTTACAGAATGCATTTTTACCACTATTTCTACAAGGCAAAAGAACTCCAGCAGGGGAAAAAGGAGGAGTTCCATGCTGACAGCTAATGGTACGGAGGTTTGGGGAATTAGTTCAGATGTGGGAGATTCAATTCCCTGGTATAAAACAGGAAGTATAAAGATTTGAGCCTGCGTATGCTGTCCCCTAGGTAACTGTCCTAACTACTGGACTATATGCTATTTTTGGTGGTCTTTTCCTCTCTCCTTTATACCTAAGAGTAATTTTGAATGTGCTCCAGGTGAAAAGGTTTTGTTTATTACAGTAATAATTTTCACTTCACTTCCTAAACCTAAATTGTTCAGCAAATTGAAACTTGAAAAGATTCTGTAGTGTACTAATGTCAGGTTTTCTGCTCTACATATATGCTTACGTTGCTTCTATTGCTTCCAAAGGCAGATTTATATAGGTTATTTTTAAGCCTATACTTCGGAACGGAACAGTTGGATCTGATTTTCAGAAGCACAGTGTCAGTACTAAGCTGCTCTCTATGGCCTTCCTACAGACATAGCTGTCTAGTCAGGGTTTTCTGCTACCAGTCTTTTTAGGAGAAAAATCGTCGCCTCTGCCTATAATTGCATTATTTTTTATTTTATTATAAACCCTTCTGTACACTAGCAAGGATCTTAACAGTACGTGCTTATTCATTCAAGGAATTTAGTAATTAAAGCTAAAACCAGAACTTTCTAAAAATTAAGTGGTGTAGATTTGTGTTACTGTACAATTTAAACAAACCTATGTTTATTTTAGTGAATAAAATCAGAATGCTTTTAGTAACTTGGGGCAATTTAGAACAGCCTTAGAAATAAAGCGATAATTCTTTTACATTATCAAAATTCCATATGCAGCAAATAAATCTGAATTTGTTTCTTATAATTTTAAAACCACTTCAGCTGAACAGCATTGTCTAAATTGAGGAAGATTTCATGTGAATGCATTTACTTCCTCAGTACAGCCACAGGGGTTGCTTGTTTGTTTAAATCAAGACAGTTAATGTAATTTTACTTTTTGTAACAGTTAATTCTTAAACAGCCTTCATTGATACTTTTAATTTCTTTTTTTTTACTGTGCTCAGACTCCTAAAAAATGTATAGTCTACAACATGAAACTGAAGGAATTTTGTGAGCCATACTACTGTCTAAGTACCTAAATAAAATCTGCAGTGTTTCCTATAAAGTAATCTTTTCTGTAGAAATGCACAAAAGTCTAAACTGAATGGATTCTATTAAAATACAATATAGGATTCTGTATTGACTCTAAGAGCTATTATCACCTCCTTGACTAACCCTTAGCTGCCAGCAGATGTTGCCCCAGGCCAGTACACACCTAATTGCTCTGTGGAAAGGCTGCTTCCCTACCTCATTGAGCCGGATGATGTGATAAATTTGCCTCAGGTACTCGCTACCACCTGGTTTGTGGCAGATATCCAGGACCATCATGTTTATATTATGCTCAGTGAATCCAAATGCAGTATCTCCTTCCGCGAACGTTGCACCTTTAACTGTGATTGAAGCACTAGAATATAGAAAAGATACAGTCCTAAGTTAAATTTCTAAAAAGCATAATATTAATTTGAACTCGGCTATAGCTACATTTTCAAAAACACCTGAAAGTACTTAACTTACACAAATGTTGTTGTCTCACATAATACATGGTAAATAACATTTTTATAGTAGTTTTAAACACCTTAATCAGAAAGATGAACACATAAAACACTCTTTAGGGATATAGAAGTAGCAAATATTTCCGTTTCCCATAGAGAAGTATTTTTGCTGCTAGAAATGGCATTTACATTCGATCTCTTGTGCATTTTTCTTTGCTTGTCACAGCACACATTAAAGCCTAATTAACATGTCAGAAAGGTAGCCATTACTCTAAGTATAGGTTAGACGTTTTAAATTGAAGTAGTTTTCTTTCCACTGGTATATTGTTAGCCATTTAAAAGGTAACTATTCGCCACTTGTTGCATTTTTTTGCCCTATACTGTTCCCTGTTTTTTTTGTATTTGCATGAAACTTCTACCATGAAAATCTGACGGCGACATTTCCAAATGCCTCCACAATTGTGCATCCAAATCCCTGATCATTGTCAAACTCGATGCACACGAACACAAGTTATTACTATCTTAGTATTGCTAGCTATAAAGTCTAAGAAAGAAAAAGTACTAAAATTTTACTCAAATATTAGAGCTGGAACACAGGTATTTGACATGTATGTGTCAGGAACTCATAGGATTCACAAGAATATACTGTCCTTTCTACAGACACTGTTGGAATAATTTAAAATAAAGAAGCATTCTCCATTAATTAAAAAAAATCAATACTGTATTTGCTTAGAAATAAAACAGAAAGCAAAACATAAAAAAAAAAAACAACCCAAAAACCTGAAAACAAAACCACTGTGGTTGCAGTTTACTGTTGGAAGTGTGCCATGGTTACAAAGTCAGTCGTTCTTAAAGTTGCTGTTTGACCTACAGGCTCTCTGAAATGCTGCACAGCTGCTGGACATTAAAGCTGATATTGCTTCCACATGCAGTTTCAGAATGTCCTACAGAGCAAATAGTTTCAAAATATAAACTATAATTTTGTTCTTTGCTGAATGTAAGTAAGTGATACTATGTTATTATGGTGTACTTTACAGAAAAGCTTAGAAGAAATTGATCTTTAAATTAAAGCACACTTAAGGCTGATATTTGATGCCATGTACAGATACAACCTGAATTTCTTGTCAAAATTCTTAGCAACTAACATTGAAAAAGCTAAGGACCTCTGACAAAGGAATGTATCAGTGCCAGTACCCAAACTGTATCCTTTACTGCCCGCTACTGCGCAGGTGAAGCAGATGATTGGATTCAGGCAGCACTATGATTAATGACTTCCTTTCTGGATTTGGGACTGCCTATCAATCATGTCATTAGCAAGAATGTGCCCTGAGAGAGCCAGGCCTCAGCTAAGGAATAACTGCATTCATCTTAATCTGTATATGCACCCAGCCAGCAAGGTCAGGGTCACCATGATGAAAAACAATAATCTTCAATTCGACAAATTACTTTGCAAAGACAGACATTTCTTTTCTTCTCAGGACGTGTATTTTTTAGAATCTAACATGACTGTTTGCAGCTCTGCTGCTACCATAAAGTGGAGGTTATTTTAATGAATAATAATGCTTTCAGGCAGTTCACAAGACAGACAATGAGTGCAACTGCCTTTTTCTTAACCTTTAAGGAAGGCTATAATTTTTTAAATATTCTTTAAAATTAATATATATTATTTAGGCTTTTTATGTAAGCAGCAACCGTGATAATAATAACACAAAATCAAGCAAGAATTTTACATACAAAAAACCCACTGCACTTCAAAGATGTTTTATATGTGTAGGTGAGTCCCAAATAATTTATTTTAAATTTATGGCGTTTTTTTCTTTCATATGTATCTATTAGAAGTCTATAAACATTTATAAATATGAATACACATGCACATGCATCCAGCTAAATCCAGAAAACATTTGATTATTCAATGGTTACATAACACCAACTTAGTATATAGCATATATAGTATATATAGTAATTTCATTCATGAAAATCATAAATCTCCTCTTGAAAGACTGCTTTTAGTTTAGTAATTATCTGGCTGCTACTTACTTCAATTGAATATTTGAATTTCAGCTCTAATATATTAGTTTTGTAATTTGTATTTATAATAATATTTATCTCTAGATTTCATATCTCAGGTATTTATAAACTGCATCTTTTTTTCCCCGATATTGACTCATAATATTTGAATGAAAAGTGGAAAAATTCATATTAGATTTCTGTTGCAGAAACGCAACTGAAGTTGGGGGAGTCAGTTTCATAACTGCATCAAATAATCACTTTCTTGGAGAGCAGGTAATGTATTGTTCATTATCCTAAGCTTAAAATCACCAGACCTGGTCACAAGCTAGTTCTCTCTTTGATTGACACTGGAACATACAGAAACATTTTCTTGTGTTTACTTTCAACAATCTGATACCTAACATATAACACAGCATTTCTGTGATATTTTACAAAAGAGAATACAGTAGTATATTAACTTAAAATTCTCAGCTTCAGAAGATGTGCAAATTAACTAAAGTTTTAGTTTTTATTGGTTATCCACAATATTGTCGTCTTATACTTGTATTTTTAAGAAGCACCAATTCTCTCTGTGTCATTAGAAATGGAATTATGGGACCACTGTGTTAAGTTCCACTTTTCAAATTATCATTATGCTTTTTTATTCTACACCTCCTTCAGTCACTGGCATCTGACTTCAATCTTTTAATCACTGGATTAGATCTTGTAAATTAGAATTAAATGAAAATGTAAAGATAACAAAGGTCAGTGTCAATGAGCATTTGTGTGACACTATTACTGCTTACTGCTGCCACATTAACTGACTACTCACAGAAATAGGACACTGTCCTTTAAAGCACTGTGTGAAAACCTGTTCACTGGTATCACTGATTCCAACCTACAATCACTGCATCCTTTGTTTAAATGGACAAATCCTGACATGGTAGCAACAACTGCAACTTCAAATAATATTCATTGAAAAAAAAACAGTAATCTTACTTTTAGCAGTTACAATATAATTCTGTAAGTCATGTAATTCCAATAAATCTAATATTGCAAAGTTGATGAATGGTATTTTTACAGAATGATACATGACTGCAACATTAAAACAGACTGGACTACAAACACACTGACATGTACACAACTCCTTGAAAAATCACTGTAAAAGCTCTTAATTTCAAATCTGAAGGAAAAATTGGTATTTTCTCAGAACGGCACAGCAGGATATTACTCTTGTCCTGTTTTGCCTTAAGGTTTGATATGTTTTGGAATAAAGTATGCTTACTTTTTATTCACAGATGAAGACTGAAAGCTTCTCACAGTTCCTCTTAATTTAATCACTACAGTAAAATCAAATTATATTTAGTACCTATTAACATTTTGAAAGATATAACAATGGACTTGTCCACATTTTTGGCTCATCAAGAAAACATGAAATCTTGTAATACTATGAACACACTGTTCTGAAGAAACAACCATGTTTTAGTGTTTCAGCAATGAACTGAAATTACAAACCCATGGTACAAAGCCATAAATATTAAGGACTAATCTGTTTCCTATAAGATCACTGCTCATCTCTTTTCCTTAAAATTGAGCAGTAGCCATAAACATGCCAATAACCCAGTAAAATAAAGAGCAAATAATAGCATTTGTAAAATACTATGTTCTTACCAGTCTATGCTCAATTTTCTTGCCTTCAGCAACTGGCTTTCAATCCAGTTTGGTCTTTGCTGTTCAATGCTTTGTATAATCTTCTGGGTCACTTGCTTAGGACCACTTTTCTGTTTCCCCATAATACTTTCTAAGCACACACGAACTAAACTGAGTTTTTCTTTGCTCCATCTATCAAGTGTTGCACCTGTTAAAAATTCTGCAGTATTTCCATCCTCAAATATCCGACCTATAATTACAATCAAGTTCCAGACAAGCAGACCAGCTTTCTTCAATTCAGCAAAGTTTCTTGACATTTTTCTCTCAGCCAGAAAAAAGAAGTATTTAATTGGGGGAGGCAAACATGCAATCACTGTAGGTAACTTGCTGATTACAATAGATACTGCTTGAGCTGCAAGCCTTGTGAAGCCTTAAAAATAGAAAGAAAAGATGATATGATTAACATTAACAGTATAGTTCTAACTGCTTCTGAATGTTGTATAATAATTTCTAACTTTCTTTTGTACTGAAAATGGGTAAAAAGCTTAAGTACTCAACACTGTAGTTTCACTTGTATTATGCTTTCTGCACATAAATCCCACAAACCCTAAACAATTACATGAATTAAAAGCAGAAAATTCGGAACTTAGACTGTGATTCTATTAACAATTAGTCCTGCTGTGCACAGTCATTACTGCACTCATGAGAAAGACAGTACTCAAGTATTCTGAATGGTAAAAATTAGTCTTCAAAATTGTAGTATTTTTTCAACTTCACAGCTGAAGCATTGCACTAAGTGTATCAGCATATAACATATATTTATAATCTCTAGGTTTTTTATCAATCTCCTTCTATGTTCAAAATAACAAAACTTCAGTTTATCATCTTTCACAGAAGTGTCTACTCTAGATTGCACTGCATTTTAAAGACTCCAGATAATGAAAGTAGCTATAAAATTAACTACAGAGAAACTGTGCTGCTCAAAACATAGCATAGCAAAACAAAAACATATCTAAAATGAACAATATAGCAAAAGGTGTCAAGATTTAAAAAAGCACCAATCTTCAAACAATATCCAAACAATTACAGAAAACCCTGTGTCATTGCACCTGCATTCCAAATGTTTTTCTTTTATTAAAGAAACCATATTCTGTTTTAGATATCACACATACAAATTTAAATTGTCTTGAAGCCTATAGTTTTACTTCTCAGTTTGCATATCAGTTCACACATAGCAATTAACCCAAAATAGCCATACAAATGTTCTAGATTAAAATGAGAGTGCAGGAAAACATATGAAAAAAAAATTGATTGATGCCCTGGCTTGGCCACAATTTACATACTCAAAACTCTGTGCCACAATTATTGAAAATAATCAGATAATATTTTGGTGGCAATAATTTATAATGAAATGTTTCCAAAAAGTTAGCCTTCTGAACTATGACCTGAAATGACAGATGCTTTAGGCACTGTGGGCTATGAAAATACATACCAGAAATAAACTTTATATCTAATCACCTTCAAAACACCTCCCGTTCTACAGGATTTCTTTATTTCTCTACTAATTGTTTGAACAACCAAGCAGTAGCATATTCCACAACAGTTTCAGTGTTTTTTTTATTCAAGCATAAATTGCTGTGTTGTAAAGTTGGGATGAATGGAAGTCCTGCATGAAAAGTTGTTCATGAAAAGGAAAACTGTTTACAGCCATTGAGGCCAAAGTATAGGCATTAATCTTCACTTTGTTTTGAATCCCATTTGACTACTGCCAGATGTTGAAAAATCTTCACTACTAGTATTATCAATAGTATAGTGCTAGTTATTTTCAAAACCTTGTTTGTATATGCATGAGTGTAAGCCTCAAGAAAAAAATAACTAGATTTTAATATAAAGTACTTAAAAAAACCCAACCACCACAGGATGTTTGGAAATAGTTTATTCATTGTCAAGCTACAACACTCACAAAATTTAACTGCCCAGTTTTAGAGTAAGGGAGTAAATGACTTAAAAGTTCTTATGAGAAGCTTATAGGATGTATTGTGTATATATATACATATATATATAAATATTATGTATAAATTTCACCTACATTTCCCAGATTCTTTTCTCTTCATTTCCCGAGGAGTGTAATTCCATTCCTTTGGAACAGTTTTCAGTAAACTTTCGGGAACTATTTGCTTGTGCTGGTATGTTCCATAGTTTTCTTTTGCCTCCCATGAATGCATCAAAGAAATTATCTGTTTCACTATACCCTTGACTGAATTAATCAAAGTCAACTTCAAGCATCTGATAACTTCCGGCTCCGACTCACCACAACTGGAAACTTCAGAAGGAAGAATTATTAACTATTCAGTAAGTGTAGTCAGTTGTGTAAATCTGTTTCAGAAAGTATTTTCAGAATTCTTATGCAAAAAAAGTAACATTATGATATATAATAAATTAGACATATTAGTCTCTTACAAAATAAGAAAGAGTATGATGTAAAACATCTTGGTACCATCTTAATACAGTACTGACAAAAAAAAGTCAATTTATTTCCTTCATTCTCACTTCTCCACTTATATATTTATAAAAAATTATATTTAAGCTGATTGATGTCTTCCTTTTTATATGGAAAACATTTAAATCAATAAGGCAAACAGATATACCTTTTTTTCCTATGTCCTTGTCTTGATAGTATTAATGAAGTATTAGATAACCAAACTGCTATACTACAGACAGTAAAGGAAAAAATAAAGTATTTTGGAAACAAAAGTACATACAAATAATAGTAATCAACAGAAACACAGCATGCCATCAAAGATTGTACGTTCAAAACACCATCCTAAATACAGTTATTGACATTACAACAAGTATCAATCTTCTCCACATTCTTAATACCAGAGCAAACTGCATTGTCACGGAGTTGCAATTGTCAAGCAGAGTATTGCAGAGCTTATCAGAGATGTGTTTTGACATGTTAGATCTTTAGATCCTTTGCTCATACTTTTATTTCTGTCTACTTTTTGCTGATCTCATCATGATCTTTCTGTAACCTTCCATGTACCACTTCTCTGCTTTGCTTCCTCTTACATGTTAAACTACTTTTTGGAGTCCCATTTTTCTCTGAGAAGTACCTGAGCACTTTTATCATTGTTTTCTATCTTGTGATACCCATAATTCTACTTCCCCTCCTGCACTCTCCCATTTTCATCCTCTTCTTTTGAGCCCTCCTGCTTTTGATCCGTAATTTGCAATATCACCCTTCTAAACCTCACCTCTCTTTTCTGACTGAATACTGTTTTCCCTTGGGAATAAAATTAGTTGCTCTAATTGTGAGGGCAGCTGTTCCACTTAACACAAAATTAAGAGGCTGAGTTCCTGTTGACACCAGAGATTGTACGCTCATCAGATTACTTCTCCCTCAGTAGAAGTCCTTCCTTCTCTTTTTCCACTCTTCTTTTTCACTCCTCTTACTTTTAAATTGTGGCAAAGGTTTGGAGTTGTTAAATGCATAAAGATGAAGAACCTCTACTGGTAGAGACCTACAAAAATGTTCTGCAGCCAGTCTGCTGGTAAGACAAACACTTAAGGTCATCAGACGCCTGGTCAACAACACTGCTCTGGAACCTCTGCATTCTTCAGAGTTTTCACCACTCCTACCATGGCCTGACTGCACAAAACCCTTCAATAATACTATAATTTTCAAGTAAGCTAACATACTTTCACCTGATTTATTATGGTAAAAATAATACCGCTCACTACATGTCTGAAGATGAACATTTAACATCAGATTTGAAATGCTTATTAATAAATTAAATACCTGTCATATTGTATAAGCAGTTCCACAAGAGCTCTTTTTCCATGTAGGACTCAAAAGCAATGCCAAGAGATTTGGGTGATAAAGTGCAGTAAGACAATACTGTGAAGATTGTTTCAATCAGAGTAGACTCTTTGTTATTTTCCTGTTCCAAGAGAGAGCTTTGTTCATCACAATTTAATGCTTCATTTCCTTCAAAATAAACAAAAACATGGTTCCAATAATTTCCAAGTAATTCAAGGTCTCAGTAATGGATAGTATTAATCAAAACAAACTGCAAAGCGTATTTGAATAATATTTCAAACAATAACACAGATACTGAAATCTGATCTTTCTCTGCCTAATGACAGTTGACTATCTTCCTGAATTATGTGTAGCCAATAAAAAAGAGACTTAAGCGTGTTTTCAAACTATGGAATATGCCTATTTAATTCAAAATTAAATTGAAATTGATTGTAAATGGAAATTGATTGTTTACTGAAGATTAATCAGAACTGCGGAATCACAGTCAAGAAGCTATTACTGCTGAACTCCTCTTCCTTATATAATAGTCATATGAAATAATAAAATCCTATTTAGATATAAAAAGTTAAGAAAAGTAGCAGCTCCATATTCCCCAAAATGTGTGATAACTATTATTACACAATCTCCCAGCTGAAAGATAAGGATTTGTTTAAAACTCCAGGAATCAATGCAATTCAATGACTTTGACTTGTGCTAATGTTGAAGACCTGAATGAACTTCCCACTTTTTGTGAAATATGCTTTCAATGTCAACAACCATGAGAAATTTCCAGAGCCATAATCTGTTAAATACTCTTAATTGAAATTTCTAGTTTGCAAAAACAAACTAACTTTTCTGTTAAAAGTATTTAGATAAAAATATACTATAAAATACCATTGCTTTCTGCCAGTTTGTTTGTTTTTACCCTTAGCAACCTGTGGAGAAGAAAGATGGAAGCCTTCAAAATTTAATTTCAAAATTATAATGAAAAATCATTGCTTTCAGCCCATCTTTGAATGACTTGAGAACTAAAAAAAAAATCTCATTTTACTCTCTTCTGAATTCCTACAACCTAATTCATGCATTACTCTAACTCACTAAGTCTAGATGAGTATTCAACCTTAGTAGAAACAGAGGCTGTGGAAAGCTGAAAAACATGATCATTGATTTCATAACTAATAAGCTATGGTGGTTTTTTTTTCTCCAATGTAAGATCAGCAATAAGACAGTTTTTTAATCAGCTTTTTTTTTTCCCTATGAGCTGAGCTGACATATATTGTTTTCAATGCCAGATGCTTCTAAGTGAAGAATCAAATGGATTCCACTTACTCACTCAAATCAGGGCTATGTATGAAAAAGAAATAACCATCAAAGCAGAAAAAGCAGTTCAAATGAGATGAAAATCTGAAATGAACTTTAGTTCTATTACTTTAAGTATTTATTTTTAAAATGATTTATTTCTTTATTATGAATTAAAAAATAATTTAATCAAATTCTAGGGGGAGATTTGCTAAGATTTCAAGAACTATGTAAACTGTCTTTACAGTACATGATGGGAAATTTGTTTAAAGGTGTTTATGACTTGAAATTAAGCCTAAATTAGTTCTATGCCTATGCTGCATGGAAAGTTTCAATCACAACTTGCTAATAACTTTTGTAATCAATTAATGCTACCAAAAGATTTAGATAAAGAGAAAAGAGCACAAAAGAATTCTGTAGAACGGGCTATACATACATCTTGTTATAACTACTGTATAATGCAACTCTTGTGCTTTTAAGCAAAAATCTATGAATCCACTACTAAATCATTCTGTGGCTAAATATAACAAGATTAGTCATTATTCATCAGCTTTTTCTTGCTTTATCCTGATGTAAATGTTGTCCCTGTTATAAGAACAGCCTGAAAGCTCAGGTTAAAATGAGTTTTCTGATTGATAAGTGGGCATAGAATCACAGAATCCTTTTGGTTAGAAGGGACCTTAAGGATAATGTAATTTGCAAAGTTTAGCTAGCAGATCAGTATAGCTGGATAAATATTATGAATTAGGAGTCTACAGAAAGTGATGTATATTTCTCATGCCTTATATTTTTTCTTATTCATTTATTAGCTCCCCTGTCATAACATTAAATATTCAACTCAGTTTGAACTCCAATGCAGCCTTCTTGTTAATTATTACATAGAGCAGAATTTATATGATAGGTATTATACTTACTGGCCTGGGATGCTTCCCTCTATACCTCTGTATCTTTTATCACTGACTGCATTTGTATAGAAAAAGCTAATTTGTGAAGGAAACCTAAAGCTCCCATAGCTAGCTCAAAGAAGATGCTTCTTTATTTTACCTAGACTTAGCATTCATACATATATATGGCTATATATTTTTCTAGATACTTGCTAAAATAAAAAAAAATCAGCTGTTTTATTTCCATACAGCATGATGTTCTATATGTGCAAAAGGTACCAAAATATATTAGAATACTATTGTTCTTAATAAGTATCTCTATAAGAAAATTATGTATCTATTGAATAACAGCTATGCCCAAACCATTCACAATGAATCATTCTTCCTATGACAAAATAATGCACTAAACCTCTTGGGATACTACCACGCATTTTAAAAACATAACTTCAGAAAGGCAGGCTTCCAAGTGCAATTTACCCATATTTCTTTCTTAATGATAGAAATACCACCCAGTAATTTGCCAACATTATCACTCATCCAGCACTTATCTGACTAGTCTAGCCATAAAATAAATCTTGCAGAATTGAAAAAAATCCTCTGTTACTGACTCTAGACTTCACTCTCCCCAGTTAATCCATACACAACAGCCAAGATACAAAAATTCATGCTGTATTTTTGACCAAAAGAGGTAGTCAAAACTCAAATTCATACATGCTGTTTCATTTCAGAAGAGGAATTGAAGATGGAATGAATTATTTCTGATATTTGTCTTAACTTTGCAAAGAGTATGAAAGTTTTGTTTTCTTCATTGAATTTACAGGTTTCTTTAAATCACAGCAACTGATGAAGATATAAAGAATGCAAAAAGGAAATGTTCTATTTTTTTGATAGAATCAAATCCTTCAGCAGGCACTCTGCAATACACTACATCCTCAATGCTTCTTTTGTCACTGACTTTATTTCTGTTCCTTTACTTTATTTGACCTGGTAGATCATTTTACCTTTCTTTCAGAGTTGCTCCTCTCCAATGATAGTTAAAATCTATTGTAACTTTGAACATGGCTTCATTTTGGCAGAAAGTGTATTATTTTAGTTTTAAATTCCAAGGAGAAATTTTACATCATAGTTTCATGGAAGAGTCACAGAATAGTCTGAGTTGGAAGGGACCCACAAGGGTCATCAAGTCCAACTCTTAAGTAAATGGCCTATAGGGAATTGAACCCACAATTTTCTTGCTACCACCACCACCATATTCTAACCATCTAAGCTAATCTCAGGGTCATGTTACTCCTATCCTGAATAAAACCCAGATCTCAACCCTACCCATTTTAATTTAATACATTCCAAATTATAATAATGCCTGTATTAGCTGCTACCTGTGAATCAAACAATCCTAAATTTATGACAACTAAAAGGCTCAACATGGCAAAAAAACTTTAACAACACTTATATCATCTGCTCATAAATTATTAACATATCAGCAAGCTACTTCTCTAGCTATATAAGTCATCAGTGCCACAGCACTTTAATTTAGTTCAGCTCCATTTAGAATTTTTTCTCACTAAACAATTTATTTTCAACTATCTGAGAAGAAGCTTCCATTAATCAATTTCTGAGTTTCCATTAATGAATTTCCATTAATGAAATTCAGTGACTTCTGTAGAATCTGTCTCTTATCTATAGCCAATAGAAAAAAAATTACTGTCAGAGTACCTGCAGTAGTGATTTTATGGGATAGTATGCAGAAAGTGTGACATTCTGACAGCCAAAATTTGATAAGGCAATACTGACTGTAGTCCTAAGGCCACATTAGCTGCCTCGTGTGTTCCTCCATGTATTGGGATAGATACTAAACAGCTTATTTTCTTAAAAGTCTACTTTACAGCTTACTTTCTTATTCATTCTAAAGCTCTGCTGTAATAAGAAATTCCTATCAGAAATTACTAAATCTTTGAAAAGCTATCCACATGACCATATATCACAGGTACCAGGTCTGTCACACATGTATCAGACACTATCTTCACACTCTGTCAAGAAAAGGTAAGTGATTCACAGTAGGGGCCCACGATAGTCCAAGCAGGAAATCCTATATAGGTTTTCAGAAACTCCATAAAATCTGTTTACTGTTTTCTCCAGCTTATTGCTGGAAAGTCACCAAAGGGAACAGCGTATCTGTCTTAAGGTACCCTTTTTACTTATCTTCCAGCTAGAAGTATATCACTTCAGTACATCCCTCATTGGTTAAGCAGGTACAGAATCCAGTAAGCTCACTGGTCAGAGGGAACTTGTGAGGAGATGCCACTTTTAAAGTAATCTTCTAACCATTAGGCTACCATGACACCAACGAAAAAGCTTTCAGAGGTACCCACAAGCCTTGTATTGGATGATCCACAAAATACCTGGAGAAGAGATCCATTTCTGCACAAAGATATAAATTACTCTAAGAGATTTACTTTTGCTCTCCTAATGAGGGCTGGGTTACAGACTAACATCCAAGTTTTGTGACCAAAACCTGCAAGACAATTTTTCCTGAAAGTGGTGTGTGGTTGAGCCCTGGGACTACAACAGTTGCTAATTTTTTCACTTGTGTGATAGACCATGACACAGGATTATTAAATCCAAGGAGCTGTTAGAAGAAAGTACAATGAAGTATGAGAAAGTACAATGAAAGTATAAGAAGAATGACTCTCAAGAATTTGAAATAAAAGTGTTGAATTGTTACAGATTTTAACAGTGCCAGAGTTTTGATGCAGTTTGTAATTTATGTAAGGCATGTACATTTTCTTCTGTAATAACTCACTACTGCCACTAATGGTTCAGTCTCCTAAATGAGGCCAATTGGTGGTTACCACTTTTCACTATTCTTTTAGCATAACTCACAAAAAACAAGTGCTATTTACTCTGATATGTCTAAAATGTAATTAATTAAGTTTGATTAAAAATTAATTAGTACTTAAAATCTACCTTAAAATGACACATTATACATCATGGCAGTTAGAGAACTGTTTCAAAGAGGGCAAAGAACTGGAGTGGAGGAAAAAAAAATCTTCTAGTTCTACAAATACATTTCCAAGATCCCTTTCCAGAAAATGGTTAATAAAAGAATGGTCTTAGAAAGCTCTTCATATTTATTAGTGTCTAGTAAGTTGTCTAATGATGCACCATCCAATTCTGTTTTCTTGGTGGAAATCTTCCCTTCCCCAACCTGCTTACGTGTGCAAGATAATTGATCTCTTTTTGAAGCAAATCACATTTATTTGGGTACAATTTCAGATTTTCAGCCTTAGACTTACTACAGAATATTTGTAAATGTTACTACCTATTCTTATTTCAAAATTTTAGTGGAGCCCAGAATCACATCTATGCTGAGATGTACAGAATAAATAATACTGTCTTCTCGTAGTCTTTCAAATATGTATTGTGCAAGCCAAAAACATTAGCTGAAACCAGCAATGACCTGGTCCTGTTGTGAATGCAGTTTTCTTACAATTTATTTCCACATACCAACACTCACTTTAGGTTGTGTGTAGAAAGACAAATAAAATTTCTCTAACAACTGGAGTCTCAAGTTTTTACGGTAATGAATAAGATTCTTTATAAGACTATAAAACAGTACATTGCATTTTCTATTGTTCATCATCTATTTGATACTACTCTCTCAAACAACTATGTGAGACCCAAGGATTGACTGAAGGTCTGGAATGTGCCTTATAATTTCTCAGTGACAGTTTTTTAGTGACTGATGTCTTATCTGCTATTCATAAGTGGCCAGGTGCCCACTGTCTGATGGGGTTCCCTCTGGTATTAGTCCTGTGTTGGGCCACTGAAATCTGATAAAACTATTACTGTTTGCTTAATTATGCAAAGGAAAAACACCTGATTCCTGGAAATAATGATTATCAAACTAGAAGTCACAGACTGTTCCACTGGCATGCTGTGTACTTAGTGCAAATCTAGCAGAAATGCTCAGAATTCACTTTCATCCTTCCCATTTTCATGTCAGCATCTGCTGGATTCAGCTACTTATTTTATACAGACAACACTTCCTTTTTTCCTCTATTATTTGTTGCTTGTCAAAATAATCCACTTCTATGTCATATCCATGAACAATAAGGCAATATTGGTTAAAAAAAAATCTGCCAAGTAAATTGCATGATAGTTTGTCAGAAAATTAACACCGTACAGCTATCTTCACTATTTCTCTCTGCAAAGACACAGCAGAGACCTTAGACCCTTTACTCACTCAAGAACATGTTTTGAAGAAAGTTGAACCTAGAGAAAAAAAATTTAGGATTATATGGCACTGTAACTTAACACACCTAGGTTATTCAGACTCATAGCTTGTTACAGAGGTCAAATCCAAATATCAAAATTTTCAACCACTTTTTCCAAGTTGCCTGCACGCAGTAGCCATACTCACTGAAGACAAATAAATGGTTCAGTTCTGGGTAACCTGATATATTACCTTGAGTATTTTTTGATGCAACAACTTCATATTTCCATATTTTAATTTTTATGTGAATTTCATATATCATATTGCAAAAAAAACCCACAAAAGTGCACTTTATGTCATCTTCCTGTCCAGATAGTATATAATCATATACATGGTGTTTCAATAACTTCACCAAATACAATATCCTTATAATATTTAGCAACATGAATCATGCCTATATAGCTTCTCTACAAATACTCTTTCTACTGAAAGAACTTTGGCAATCCCAACAGTACTCCCTACTATGATGGGGAATATACATTCCTTCTGAATCTCCCCATGGTACAACCATAAGAACAATGGGAATACAGTGAAATTTAATGTGTTTGAATGATGTCTACTTTGAGTATCCCAGTACAGAAAAATTCATCAATACATAAGATGTTTTGCCTTCTGGCCTGTTTTTAAAAGGAAAAGGAAAGACTGAATATAAAAAATGTAAGAAGGCTTTTCCTTTATAAAGAATTCTTATGGAATTAAATACCAGGGAGTTTTGTTATCACTAGGGCAAATTGTTCAAAAACTATGGTATGCTTAGCTGTGGAGGAGAAGAAATAAAAAAATACAAAATTTTTGTCATTAATCACACTGAAATTAATTTAGATGATATGGGTTATCACAGATACTGACTTCATCTAAGCTGAAAGTTTATTCATTCCAATATTGAAGCTACATGAATAAAGCCTGTGTAAATAACACATTTTGGAATTCAAAGTAACATGGATTTCCCTAAAGCTTAGGAGGTTGGTCAGTCAATAGACTAATACATTCTGTCACTTATTACCTGTAATTATTTAAACAGATAGCAAAACTCAATACTGGATAACACTAGGGTAAGACTATGACCCTGATCAAACATTTGTCAGCCTTTCTAAAAGATGACATGTGTTTGAATAGTCAAGTGTATGCACTGCAGCTCTCAATAAGATGCATGACAGAAGTGGAAGATGATGTACTCCTGACAAATACTAGACCATTTTAAAGTGACTGAACTAAATTATGTTTTATATAGATAGATATATAGATAAATACATATAAACATAAATATAAATATATAAAATATTATGTGGACCTAATCATTCTCTGATAATGGGAAGAACTTGTTTGCCAAAAAATAAACCAAGACTCTCATGTTCCCGGAATATTAAGTCAAACAGGTAATTATACCATTAACTATTTGACAATACAATCATTTGATCTGCAAACTACTAATGCAAATAAGTGATACAGTTTGTTGCTTCAAACACAATACCATCAGAATGCAAATAAAAATTTGGTTTCTTTATTCTACTTTCAAAACATCATTAAAGAATTAACAAGCAGAAGTATATATCTGTAATTCTAGAATGCCTACAGTGACAAGCATATAATAACTTTAACAAAACATCTAATAAACTTTCCACTGTTCAGAAGTAATTTTTAAAGTGGTCTCTTAGACTATTCATCCACACTTTCAAAAACCTGTATACAGTAGTCGTGGTATCAAAGCTCTATTAAGCTCAAATTAATTTTGACTCTTTTGCATTTATTATAGCAGCCTATTTTATAATATTGCAGTTTGCTTTGAAATTATTAATACACTGGTTAAGTGTAAATTCTCACTAAAAAAGTAATGATTTTTCTATCTATATACCCATTCAAGAAGTGTCCTATTGGTAAGTAAATGTGTACCTAACCCTCAAAATTGTTGACAGCCTTCCCCCAGCATTTAAGTAGTTAATAATGAATTTGTGTTTCTCACTGGTATTCTTATATGGATTGACAGTATCAATACTTACTTGAGCTTCTCAGCAAAATTTTCACTAAGAGACAATCATGGTGTAGCAATGTTTCCAAAAGCAAGCTCAAATTACAGTATGGCTGGGATAAGAGCAGCTTCAGCAGACCTTGGGCTGCCATTTCTCTGGTTGATGGAGTCCTTTCAAAATGTAAGATAATGACAGAAAGAATAATATAGTTAATATATCTATGAAATCAACATCTTTAAATTGCAGATGTAACACTAACTCCCTTAAGTGTCAACTCCTACCAGATCACTCTGAAAATACTTTCATGCTTCCTTACTTTAAGGCAGCTCAGAGAAAGAATTACACTTAATTTCAACTAGTTAAAAGCAAATTGACATTTGTTAGCTTGCCACAGTTACATCTGATACAAAACAACTGTGTTTATCTCTTTTATGAAACTGTATTTATCTTGCTCTACCAGGCAAAAAGGAGGTTTTTTTTATCTTGCAGTTGAATAAATGTAAGGTTATTATTTTTGTTTACTATTGCAGTAATTGTTGATTAAGAGATCTGAAGTGTCTGTCCTTGATGAAGTATATAAAGCTCTTAAGCAAAAGGCAATGAAAATACTCCAAGGGGTTGCAAAATTCCACTTTAGGTTGTGCAATTTTTATGTGTCCTGAAAAATCCACAAGAAATATTAGACTGGTTGAGTCTAATATTTCTTTGCCAGCAGCGAGAAGTGAGAAGGTGTAGTACAAACGCATTAGCTTTTAAAAATATTGTACTTTATTTTCTGTTTGCAGTTTATTTTCTGTTTGTGACTCCAATGTTCTACAAAAACTGAGGTTTCCAAATACTATTCCAGGGCTTACTCTGAACACAGCCAGTGATCCGACACCAATCACTAAACTCACATTATAGTTAAACAACTAACAAACAAACTCTTCTATCCTGCCAAATGTTTACCGCCTGTTGTATTTAGTATTCTTGAAACATTTTCAAAAACAAGTTTTCAAAATTGGATTGTGGATAGTTTTTTTTTTCTTTTAATGTCTTAGTTTTTAATAGTTTGAAGGTTCTTTTAAAATTAAATTTTAATTTATGTTTAGCCACTCTATTTACTTTTTTGGCTATAAGTTTATACAATAGTTGGTAACACTGAAACTTTATGCACCTCGTAGATAAACTTTTATGCACATGAATTTTACATGCATGATTTTAAGTACTTGATATGGACTGATGCATTGACTAGGCAGGTATAAATATCATCTGCCAGTATGCAAAAAAGTCTTCAACATCAGTCAAAACCTTCTTCAAAAGGAGGTTTTCAATCTGACATTTTCCGGTCACACTAGAGAAGTATTTATATGTCTCTGCTAAAACACTTTATGTGCCATTTACACATAACTTTTGTGAAAGAACTAAAATAGTCTCATGTGGTTGTTCTAACAGAGGGGTACCTCTCCATTAAGTTGCATACTTTTACAACCTCTGACTTAGCCAAGTGTGCCACCTCTCAGTTATGCTTGAATACACATATGAGAAAAATAGACTGCACAAGTATTTCACTGTTGAGTCAAAGCTGCTATTTATACAATATATTCAATACAAATCTACAAGCCCTGGAAAAGAAAATGTCATCTGATACACTCCTCTAGCTTAGGCCCTCATACATCTATGTTTCCATTACCAGAAAAAGCAGTATGCCACCTATCTCACAGGGCAGCCTTGGAGTCACTGAAGTAAACCATAGCACCCATCTTCCAGCAGGGCCTTACATCCCACTATTATGAAAACACTCCACTGTAATGGTCATTTTAGTAAAGGAAGATTTTAGACACCTCAGCCTTTGCACTTCTAATATTAAAGGAAAAAACCTCTAACTTCATAAGCAATGTCTGTGCCAGAAAACCTGATGTACAGCTTTTGTGATTTTCATCTGGTACTTTATATATTTTTGCTGATAGTGTAGCACTGACTCTACAATTATATTTGCACATTAGCACATACCAGAAATACATACACATATACATTTAAATATTAATAGAACTTGCAGTCAAAGTAAATTCTCCATATTTAAAATGCATACTGTATTCAAACATTAGGACTTTGCACTCCTAAAATAATTATTCTAGTTTCTGTATGTTCAAGATTAGTTTTATTTATATATATATATATATATATAGTATATATAATATATTCTTATCAGTATATATATAATCTAATCAGTAGTTAGTAATTAAAATTCAAACAGTTACTATATTCACACTAGAATTAATCCTATGGCTGACAGCAAACTCAACTCTTCACTAATTCAGTTAAAATAATTGGGCCAGTTTAATTTTTCTCTCTTCCTTTAATGTCATGTCATACTATCTAATAAGGGAACTCATTGACTTCAAAAGATAAGTGACAAGTTGGGTCAATTAGATTTATGAGGAATAGTATTTTAAATTCCTATAAAAATAAATTACATTTTTAGAGTATCTAAATTGAAAAAAAAAAGCTGTCTGTCATTGACCAGATGGGAAGTTATCATGTTGTAATATACACCAGTTCTTGGCTCCTTAAGCATCTTGCAAATTGAAATGTACAATGGTGTGACTCACTTGGAGGAAAAATAAAATATAGCAGACATTCCCTACAGCCATGAAGCTAGCACCAATAAATGCACTGAGAACTTTTGTAATGTGCATATGGAGAGACATATGTTCTCTCACCCTCATAGCTCAGAACTAGTGAAAATAAGACTAGCCTCATAAAAAGTGACAAAAGGTGAAGTACATATAAATATCACACATATAAATGTCCTGTTTTGTACAGTAGAAGAAAAAAACCCCCAACTTTGATTTGCAAATGGTATAATTATAAACCCCAAGTGAGGCAAAGAATGAATCACAATTACCACTAAGGAATCACAATTACCACTAAAAGAACTGTAATATAAATTATCAGTAATTATTTATTTTGATAACCAACTATATTATTTTGGTTTGTACTCAAGACAGAAAGAAAGAAAGAAAGAAAACCTCATGTGCTAAGTTCAAGATGTTGTAAGGCAAGCAGATATGCTAATTCATGGTAACAACTTTGACACTGATGTTGGAGTCAAATTGATAAAATTAAACAGACTGTAGCCATTTTCAGCAATGAAAAATAATGTAAGAAATCAGGTTACATAGTAAACAAATTAATTCCAAGAACTAGCAACTTATTTTTTTTTTTTTACATAGCAAGCTTAGGGAGACTAATATCTACACGTATGACAGGTTAGAGTCATCAGCTAAAAATCAGGTGGCCACAGTTGAGTGGTATAAAATGGCCTGTGCTTCCAATTTTGTTACACATGGTAAACACAAATTTTAATTAGATATAAGATGTAAAATCAGAAAACAATCCATGAATTGATGAAAGATGCTCTAAAATACAGTTGTCTGTAATGCTTAAATGAATTTTTTTTATAATATTCTAAAGGCACTGTTTGAAGGGGAACAAAAGTTCCATTCACATGGAGTATAAAACCAATGAAAAAATTGAAACACCTCAGAATTATTCATTAGATACAGAGTCCTCCCTTTTTTTTTTTTTTCCTGAGCAGCTGAAAGGTGTGCTGTCAAAAGGGAACATTAAATATTTTACCAATATAATTCACTCATTATCACCAGGACAGTATATAAGACTCTCTCTATTTATGGACTTTTCTCACAAAGGCACACTGACAGTATCTTCTCAGAGATGTACTTGTTTTTGTACTTTGCAGTTTCCTATTTGGTGATCAAGGAGTTCTGTATTTTAGTACATGCAAAATAAGTGCATACTAGCTCTGGAATAGTTTTCTGTTATTTATTCAAATCTATCTTAATTCCACCTCAGAAAACATACATAATTATCTTAGAAAAGATAATTACATAATTATCTTAGAAAAGATAATTATGTCAGACTGAAATGGTACCAGCATCTCCTTTACATACTAAGCATAGGGTACTCGTGAAATCATGTTCCAAAACTCATACTTCACAGTGTAATCTAAATTTTGAGATCTGGCCTTGCATGAGGTCATCAAAAAATTTATCGACTTTTCTACAATGAAAACTTAATGGAACATAAATTTTCCAGAAATGGATGACTAGATTCCTTTTTAATAATGCATCATTCCCTCTCCTGTATCCCTCCTTCTCTTCTCCTTTCTCTCCAACCATGCCTAACTTAAAAAGTCAGTGACAAAGTTCCTTGAAGCTTGATAAACTTTGCTTTATATGCTTTATAACTTTATATGCTTTATATACTTTAAATTCCTTATAAGAACTTAAGCTACTCTTCCAAGCAGGACACATTTTGAATTCACCAGTTATTCAACTCTGGCATGTAATTGGTGAGCTACATGATTCTGATGTAGTCACAACATATATTGTCTCTGGTTCAGCAGATATCAGAGGCACTAGGGAAGGCGAGAACAGGACTGATGACATGTAGCTAGGAGCGGAGCCTATGGAGAGAAATCAGAATGTTTTGTGTAGTATGGGGCAAAATTATAGGGGAAGTATTTTCATATAAAAGGTAAAAGATACTGTGCGTACAAGGAAATAGGTAATAAATCCAAAGCACATGGGTCACCCATAGGTTACCACTCATTTGGTAATGTACTCCTCCAAAATATAAAAATATTTTCTCAGAAAACACAGTAACATCTCACAATAGCAGCTTTCCATGAAAACCTCTCAGGAAACAACATTGAAAAGGAGGAGGGGGAGGTGAAGGGGGAGTGGTTGAGATGGGATCTACACTGGTGTGGGAGTGCTTCAGGTTCAAAATTAGAAAGAAAACAACAGCACAGCTGGTAGCATGTATCTTCTATGTCACTTGTCATTATCTGCAGTGATACAGAAAAGTTAAGCTTTTGCTTTTCAACATTCAATAATCTCCAAAAAATTCAACTACGATCAAGCAGCATGTTGTTCAATGAGTTATTTATGTACCAATTTTTTTAAAACAGCAATTCTAAACAGAAGGGACATTATCTCTACTTTAATTATAAGGCCCTTAGAACAGCTACTGTGCTGAACTTCTGTATTGTCAAGAACTATATAATCTTTAATTAAAGCCAGAAAACCTTAAAGATAATTCAAATATCAAACATAATTAACAGACTAGCAAAATACAGTGCTTTCAGTGCAATTTTTCTTCATTCTCTCAAAGATTAGACAAATCTGTAATGAATTTAAAAATGCTACTATGTCTTAAAAATTAGAATAATAATTAGACATTTATTCAGATATACTCTTCAAAATGTAACAATATTTGACTAATCCTGACTATCTGGTGATTCATTTACAACAATCAACTTTTGATACTCACTTCAGAAAGAAAAAACAGGATGATGGTATGCAAAACAACCAGTGTAATGGATGATAAAAGACTTCTGAAAAATCTTGAGGAAGATGTTCATCAGAATTATCCAGAAATGTCCTGGGAGAAACCAAATACTGAGTTACATGGGAGACTGAAAATCCCCTTGGATCACTACTACTAAGTATATATATCTATATATCCATATATATCTATTTATCTATATATCTCTATATCTATATGTACATCAAACGAAGACAGAAAATACCTTATGAAAAATACTATTAATAGATGCATGCAAACACATAATTGCAAACCTATGTACTGTAAAAAATAGAATGCTGTATTTTATTTACTTTCACTCTTTGCAACTCAGCATCTAATAACTGTTATTCAGGTTTTCCTCTTATTTTTATTCCTATGTAACATATTTTCAAACTATGTTTGAAAATGCATTAAAGAAGCAAATTTCTCTTCAGTCATTCATTTCTATATCTCCTCCTGAATAACAAAAATGCATAGTATTTTCAATACTTTTACAATAATGATATGTAAAGTGTCTTTTGAAATTATACTGACATGCAAGCATATATAGACTTTGGATGAAACTGGACAAAAATTTGAACCAGAAGCTTTGGAATGTCACTGGCTTGAGAGAAATGGAATACTGGTTTTTTTTCAAATATAAAGGACTAAAGAAGAACTAGATTGTTACTAGCTGTCATTTTTTCAATACTTCACTTACTCAAATGGTATGAGAGGCAAAATCTACAGATACTAAAAATGAAAAATTTTATAAACTAATTATATGATAGGATTATAGATATGTGTGAGAACAGGATTCTCTAATCTAATATTTGCCTTTAATTATTGTTTAGTAATAATTATTAGTATTTGTACAATTCTCTAGCAGCCACTAGGATTTAATCATGCGTGATAGTATGGATGCTACGTGGCCTCTTCTCTTTCTTTCCTCATTTACACTTTTACAATTCCAGCAGAGAGGAATTCCAGCCTGTTACATCCATTAAATATAAACAATTATCACCACACAAGCACCTTACTTTTCATTTTACTTGACTGTAAATTTTTTATCTTTCATCTCAAGTAATTCAGAACTATAGCTATATGTCTATTAGGCACAGATGAAAGAAGAAAGAATTATACTTTTTCAACAAGAAAGGTAAAGGTGTAAAGTTTCTGAACCTCTCTAAATGACAGATTGTTTTATTTTGAAACCACTCTTACTAATAAAAAAATAATAGAAAGAATTTGCTACAGATATCTAAAGGATGTTAAGTAAGCAAAATCTGAGCAGAAGTTTTAGTACAGTGAATTTGTGCTCTTTGTGAATTCATGAAAACCTGAAGATTAAAAATAAAGCTGCAATTCTAATATAGCCAAAAGAAGAACCCAAACTTAAAAAGAATTTTTTTAAGGACAGTAATTTCAATATTATGAAAGTAAAAGGAAATCTTATTGTCTCTTATCCACTGAAATATTTTTTTTCTGTATATAGCAAAGTATAGAGCAAACATCCTACACAAAAGTGTGATAAGTATTTTGCTTAGAAATCTCTTAAAAAAAAAAAGACCACATCTTGTCTATTGGTTGTGTAGGAACTGTTTGAGAGAATTCTGCACTAAAGCAGCTTGTTAAATATGATTTATTAGCTGTATCCTAAGGAGAAGCCCAGGGCAGATTTTGTATTTTGAATTATTTGCTTATACCAAAATCTCTACAGAAATTTTTGAAGTGAGACAGAGATAATCTGAGGGTTTTAAATATTGTTTAAATATTAAATTAGCTTCAAATACTATTAAAAAATCAAGTTTCTAATGATGATATAGTAATTTTCATGACAGCATTTCTTAATGTCCACTGCTGGCTAGCTAATTCTTGCAAGGCAACCCCAACTCTCTGCCAGGCTGTTCTGGCAGCTCCTGTTCAACTACTCTTCTGACAGAAGTATAATAATAGCTAGTAGGACATTTGTTTTTGATTCAAGTTATGCTAAAGCAGCTGCCTATTATCTCAAAGCAGCGGAGAGCAGATTTAATACCACAGCAAGATTTAAAGTTATAGTGGTTTTATTCTTCAGTGGAATATGACAAGGTGAGAATTGATCCTCTAAGCCTGAGTGCAGGTGTGAAGAAACGAGATGCCAGCAAGATGCATCCTAACGATATTTCCTTGTAGTATTTGTATGATTTCTCTCTGTATAAGGAATAAACATTACTAAAAAGCAACTTCATGAGTTATAACTCATATATTAAAGAGAAATGTTTTCAGTCTTTAAATACGAATGACATTGAATTTATGACAATAGAGAGCAATTTTGCCAATAGACTCTCTAAATGCCTTTCAACATTTAAATAATTTGCCTGACTTCTTGCTGAGAAAATAAAATATAACAACTCATAGTATGAAATCACAGAAACATGCATCCACCTTACTCTTTATCTTCTTCCTTTACAGACAATCATCACCTACTCAGTACAAAAGACAAAAGAATATCAGAACAAGTGCAAGAATAGACCTGTTCCAAACAGAGCAACCCTCAACCTGAGGCAGAAGACAGTCTCTACTTTGAGGCCCAGATAATTCACTCCTCTACAAACTAATGAGTCAAGAATGGCATTGGACTCTTCTGTGTATTCATCACAGGCAGCACTGAAACTGTGTGATCCACTACACAAAATCCCACTAACAATCTTGTCAGTGAGTAAGACTAAGATGATTGAAAATTCAGAAGTATGAAAATCCTCTTATTTCAGAAGTTTGAGTAAGCAGCAAGAAAACAGCAACGCTCAGTGGATTTGGGGAGCACATTCTAGAGACTCATTGTTCACAGGTCCTTTGACAACATGGACAAAAGTGGACACAGAACAGTTGCTGAGGACATTTTCAGGTGACACTAAACTGGGGGAATGGTTTAGTGAACAGTAACACAGCAGCTGAGTGCCTACGCATGGATGACTGGGCCAACAGAAATTCACAGAGTCGACTGAGGTGAAGAGCAACTGTTTAGCTACAGAATTACAATAGATAACCTAGGCTGGGAATTGACTTGTCTGAGTGCCACCCTACCCAACCACAAACCTGCAGTTTATGGGCAGCAGAATGCTGGAGACAAGGCAACAGTATATTATCACTAGAAAAAATTCAAATTATACACTGGGCTTCATTAGGAGGAACACAGCAACTAAAACAAAGATAGTATTTTACTTCATCTGCTTGTCAACAGTTTAGGCCTTACCTAGAATATTTTGTCCAGCTTTTGGGCCTATAGTTCAAGGAGGATGTGAGGAAACTGCAGAAGACTAAACTGAATCACCTGTAAGAAATATTTGAGGCCCGTAGACTCCTTTACTTTTCTGAAAAGGTGGCTAAAGTGTCAATTCATCTAATGGCAGCCTACAACCACCCGAAAATAATTACAAAGACAACACTGACCCGACTTTTGTCAGCGGGGGCTGATGTGATATAGCAAATTATAGCCAGCAGCTTTGAGGGTTCACACTAGATATGAGGAAATATTTTGCACTAAGGCAGCTGTAGAGCAGGCTTAACAAAAAACTGTAAAACTTCAGTTCCTGGAGGCTGGCATGTGTCAGCTGAGTCAGTCAAACCTAGTCATGTTGGACTGCTCTTGGTGATCTGCTTTCAGGAGGAGGAGGCTAGATAAGACAACATCCAGCAGTCCTTTCCAATTAACATTTCCATTATGCTAAAGACACTTCAGGAAAGCCACAGAAGGGTGAAGAAAAAAGAAGCACATTAAAACAAGTATTAAACCTTACCACCCAAGATTTATAGGTGAATTTCAAACCAGATCTAAGTAACTTTGTCATGCAGAAAAGAAACTCTAGATCACAAAATTAGGAATGAGAAAACAGAATCATCTACTTTGAAGTTAAGGATATTAGTAATTTTTCAGCATCATTATGGTTTTGCTCAATTTCTACAAAATAATTAAGCAATTTGAATAATTTTAGTTCCCTTTAGCAGTAGAGAATACAGCCTCTCTAGTAAGCTGGAAATAAGCCAGTCATATTATTACACAACTCCTGGAAAACAATGTTTCATCACTGCCACTTTTATGATCACACAGAAATTTCCCGAAAAGTCTAAGGATTAATTGACTTCTAGTCATTTAAGGGAAAATTTCCAGTACCAAAATATAGCATGATAGATTTAAAAGAAAAGAAGATTTCACTTCTAGCTAATTTTACCAAAGGTTTGAAAGATATAGAGGAAATATAACAGATGGAAATTGTGATTATACAATGTAATTTCAAAGAGAATTGATGAAAGATTAGTATTCCTTTAAAATCAGGTATAGCTTTTAAATTTATTATTGATAGACTCTTAATGTCTATCAATGCACACCCCAGTTAACAATAGATCTAGGTACTATACCTAAAATTCACTGTATCAAGGTGTTTCCACTTGAATATAGTCATTTAAGCTGAGTGACCAAGCCACTTTTTAATTTGTACTCTGGACACTGGGCTAGGTTTCCCGACAAATATTGGCTGCATTTACATATACAATATAAAAAAATTCTTTTGATAATGGGGTCTCACAGATTGTGAAAACACAAGTTCTGAGTAGAAGTTCATTAAAAAAATCCAATTTTACTTACTTTAAAACACACATCATCTATATGGAAACGATCTTCAGTGTTAATATTATTTTTGTAATGTTATAACAAAATACGATGATTTTTTGTATTCTTTTTAAACAAAGCTGCCATATTTTGGTGGTTATTTGCACAGTACTTTTAAAAGTACTAGTAAATTAAACGAGCTGCTACATTCTGCACATGTCAAGTTTTTGATCTCCAGATAAGCAACTTCAGGTAATGAAATTCACATTCCTAACTACAGTGAAAGCTATATGACCAAGTTGTTTACCTGTAGCATTTTACATAAAATAAAAACCAAGCTTTTCATTAGCACTTTGTTCTGAAACTGTGAGTTTTCCAGAAAGCACACATTTTTTGTAATACTATGTATACATAAATATCTAAACAACATTGATCAGTGGAGGAGACTAGAATTGATAAAAGGAATAAATAATTTATCTGTACATTTATATTGCTCTATCATTTTAAGGGCTTTCATAAAAGAAAGATGAAAGACCAAAACTGACACTAGAAGCAGTTACAGCTATTGCAATGTCCTTTCCTGCCTCCATTCCTAGTGCCACAGCAGGACTACCTATCTGTTCCTGAGTCACCTAAATTGCTATCTATTCATAAGCCTGTGTTATATAACATGAAACATCCAGTTATAATCCATTTTTGCATGTTCTTTAGAGCCCACAAACATTAAAATAAGCCCACACATGACAAAAATTAGTTAAAGAAGCTTATATGGAGGAGGTCTCCACCCTAGTATTTCCTAGAATTTTCTTACTTTGAATAATGAAATAAAAGCCAGTTGAATAGAATGTAGCTTCATTAGTTTGGGCTTTTGTTGTCCCTCTTTTTTATTTTGTGATCTCACTTTGTATTGTCTCTTACACCAAATTTACAGAAGAATTTTATCAACAAAAGACTCAGACCCAATTTCACTACAAATTACATGTCCATTTTCTATAGCTGTGACTTGTGAAGACATGATTTTGTAAGTAAGGGCATTCTATATTCTTATTCTTTTAACTATATTTGTTGAAGAATACTGGTCATATAATGAGATGATCATTTCAGTAAATTATCTTTACATTCCATTATTTCTAGAAATATTATTGGATGACAACAGAACATTCTGATTTAGCTGGAAGCCTAAAGTATATAAATCTGAACTAGTAATATGATTTTTTTTCAATAGATGATTGACTAAGTCCTTGAAAACCTCGCCGAAGTATTTGGTACCATAGTAATAAATGTTTTCAGATTGGTAAGACCGTAAAAGAAATATGTCCTAGCTGGAAAAATAAACTGAAAATTTGGGACAGCAATAATTAATGACATTCTGCTGGATTTGTCACAGAAGAAATCAACCCAGACATTCACTATGGTCAATTTTACTAACAGAAAAAAAAATAAAAATGTACAGCACAGGAATTTGATCCAAAGCTAATAAAATCTCAGCAGATATAACTGGGCTTTAGGTAAGATCATAAAAATAAATATGGGATCTAATTGAGAAATAGGCAAAGACTAATAAAATTTGTCAATACTATGCATTGCATTTGATTTTAACACAAAAATTCACCTCGTGGATCTAGCTATGTAAGCTCAAGAACCAATTTTATCTCAAATTGAATGTTTATTTCATACTTACTCATACAAATTCTTCAGTGGTGAAGTTAAAATAGCCAGCACAGAGATCAGACTATTGCAGTGGCTATGTATTTTATAGATCTTGAGATCTCTGTCTTTGTGTGGATTCAGAAACTCCTGCACAGAACTACAAATTGACCAGAGCATATCTTCAGTGGACATCAAAATTGCTGCAATATCAATTCTGTAGGCAAAAAAAAGCCCCAAGAATAACATTACTTAAGACATCTTGATAGTGGTAAGTTCCAATTAAGCAGACATTGTCTCTTACAGGATAAAATACCAAAACCATAACATGGACTTTAAATTTCCTCTTCAGTCATGCAGGAAGTCTCCACCCACTACTGCGTAAAAAATCAACTCTTTCACAGAAAAGTTATTACTGAAACTAGTAAAAAGAAGACTTAAAGGTTTGAAAATGTCCTTTTTCAAAGGTCAGTGTCATTAGGCATGAATTATTTACCTTCTAAACTACAAGTAAATATATATAAATTTTATTTTTCTTATACTTAAAATGTACATACTACTTTCAAATCCTGATGTGGCAAAAAAATAGGAAGAGAGGAACTTAATCTTCAATTTGCAAAACTAATTCCATGCATACAATGCACATGCAATGACATCATACAATGTGAGTAATCTGTTGCCTGTTGACACTAGTTGGCAGCCCATCACACGTCACTGGCCTGAACAGCAGCCAGAACCCAAAGTACAGCAATATAAACTCACAAGACTAAGCTGACATACAAACCACAGGAAACATGTGAATAACACAAAAGATATGGGAGGTATGAGGCTGGACTTTAAAAAGTACTCAAGTACCTAAAAACCACAGATGCACATGTGATCATATGCATTTTTAAGGATTATATTTTTTAAAAATATAGGCAAACACACATAAACAGATATTTGTCCATATTACACAGAAGTTCTCTACCATTTGAAGAACCATTGGGAAAAAAGATACCGTCACAAAATACAACATTATTAAAAAAATATGTAAAGATTCTGTGATAAAAATATGTTGAATTATATTGAGTAATTTTTTTCATTTATTCATGATTGGATAGTTCAATTTACTTAGTGAAAAACTCAAGAATCACCTCAACAAATATACCATTTTTCTACAAAATGACAGTGTAAAAAGTTCTTTCTTGTTCAGTAGTTTGAAGTAAATTCATATAGAATTGACTACTATGACATTTAAGTAATACTTTCATATTTCAGAGAACTTTTTCCCCAAAAGAATTTCCAGGCAAGTTTTCAGGAAACCTCTCTGTACCAAAAATATAGAAGAGCCTGATTACAATAAGTTATTACAGGAACAGAGCATACAAATAAGTATGTAGAATAAAACTTCATTTTTTTCCTACCCATTTCCAGAATAGGATCTTGTGCAAGTTATTTGAGATTTCACAACAATACTTTTCATAATAAAACTTGAGATGACAGCACATAACTCTTCGCTCACACAGAACATGTACCTGCTTAGTGCCTTTAACTCTCTAAAATGACAAACTCTTTAAATCTTCATAGTGGTGCTGTGCAATAGGACAAAAGACAGTGGTCAGAAACTGGTGCACCAGAAATTCCACCTGAATATGAGGAAGAACTTCCTCGCTGTGTGGGTGACTAAGCACTGGAACAGAGTGCCCAGGCAGGTTATGGATTCCCCCTCACTAGAGGCATCTAAGAGCTGTCTGGACTTGACCTTGTGCCCTGTGCTCTGGGATGACCCTGCTTGAGCAGGGAGGTTGGACCAGATAATCCACTGCAGTCCCTTCCAATGTCACCCATTCTGTAATTCTTTGTGATTCTGTTAGGAGAAATACATCTATTTATTCAGTAAAACATGACACTGGATAGTAAAGACAAAGGTAGGGTAAACTTCCACTTGAAGGCATCTGCTTCAGTATTTCTCAAAAAGACCCTCCTCTCGGGCAAAATGTAAGACTTGCAACAAGAAAAACTTCCTATTTCTTATTTCCTAAAATGACAGAAAAAGTAATTTCTCCTTTCTCTTTCTACACCACTGGCAAATTCTGACAAATCTTTTGACGTGACCTTGTAGCTCTTTCACTTGAAAAGTCATATTAAAACACAATTCTACTGGAACACATTAAATTTTCTTAATGAATCAACAACTTGATTTCTAATCCTGACATTGCCAATTATGTCCACATTTTTTGCTTGCATCACCAATCCTCGATGCACTTTCATTGTGAGGCTTTCAAAACAATCCATTTTGGAGAGCTGAAAGAGGCCTTTGATTCTGCCCAGTTTGCAATGTAATTACTAAATATACTTAAATATACAAAATACATTTTATTAAAATAAACATCAAAATGCATAGATTTGGTCTATTCCCTCTGCCATGTTCAATAACATTGAAATTTGAATCAAAGCTGTGAGTAACAGAAAACGAACATTTACTTCTTTTATCCATCAAAACGGCTTATTAAATATACAACCATTACCTGATTTGTGGTGTCCTTTTATAACTGGGACACACCTGACAATATCTGGATGACAGAATATCCAAAGATCGCTCTAGCACATCTGTAAGAATCTCCTGGGCTGTCTTAGGAGGTAGAATAGTCCATAGATCATGGTGAAGAGCACAGCAGAAGTAATGCCACATCTGGACAGAGAATGAGCATCTTTCCCCCTATCAAAACCAGCACACATTACACAACAAAACCACTCCTTCCAAAATGTCAATTTAACTCCTATAGGTATAATTAATTCAATCTGAAAGGAAACAGCTAAAGAGTTCCAGGAATATGATGGCTAAAACTAGTCCTTGAAAAGATGTGAGACATCTTTATTTGCAAGGGAACATGCTGCATTTCAGTCACAATATTACAGTTCTGCCACAAAATAAAACCACAGCATTTGAACTCTTATATCCTATGTAAGATATCCTTATATAACCTATTCTCAAAATCCATAGTTATAAGTTTCATTTAAAAACATAGACAGTATTCTGTATGCAGTAGAACAGTTGGATAAAACTAACAGGGCAGTTTCTCTGTCTGCAAAGAAAATAATTATTTAAATTACTTAAGCATATGCATTACCCAGATTCAGAAATTCAGAAATTCATAACCATGATTATAAAACCTTGGTTATATATAACAGATATGCAAGAAAAGAAAAGAAAAATTGAACTATTAAACCAACAATAAGAGATAACCGGATTTTTCTACTATGATATTTTTTTCTCCTCGAAATTTGAATGCATTGAAACCAAACATTTTCTGGCAAGGAATCAGCATTGGCATTAATATTTCACTGTCCAAATAGATCTGTCCCATTTAGACACAGAAATAAATACAGGGGAGTCAAATTCACAGGAGTTAATTCATATTATTTCTAAAAATTTCCCGGAAAAACTCACATTTAAACATTTCAGCTAATACCTATTCAGCATATAGCACTATCATGAAGCTTTTTGAGAACAGAGACTTCGATCTTCAGTTCTCATATCCCAAAGGAACTGAGAAATATTTTAATAATTTGTTGATATTTTAGAATTATTAGAAATATAAAATAACCCCAGAATTTTTAAAACACTTATAGAGTTTGATAGGCATTCTTTATAAACAAAAATAAAAAAATAATCTGGCTTCTCTTTAAATACATTAGCATAAGCGTTAGCAGATTATTGGAAGTTGTCACTATTTGCTTTTTCTCTGACATAATATTTGAACTGCATTTTATATTAAAAAGTGGCCAAAATTATGAAAAAGAACAAAAGAAACAAGCTTGTTGACAAATTTCACTTTTTAACTTTGCAATTATAAACACAAATTTTTGCACGTTTTCCACTCTGGTTTATTTAAGTAATAGCTCTTTCCCCCTTTTTTAGTATTGTACCTCCACTGCAGAAGCAACAATATCACTGAAGATTTAAATGAGATTCACACCCTTTTTCTGACCTGTGTTTCTATTTGTTGCCATTTTTAGACAACTCCACTGATAAACATCTGCTATTTTTGCAGGCTTCATGTAATAAAAACAGACGTGACCTTTTTTTTTAGCTTATATATGAGGAAACAAGCAGCTGTGTTTTATTACATAAGCCACTCAGTATTATCTCTGAACAGACAATTCTTTATTCTTTGACTGTTAGAAAACGTAAGTTCCCACAGCCACAGCAGATGTCTACTACACTAAGAGCTTCATTCAAAAACATAATCTGGAGAGCTGGCCCAGTGGCACACTCTTCCTGCTGAGTTTATATGTTGGAAGAAGCCACCTCTCACTGCTGGAAGTTTCGGCAGGGAACTGTCTCTGTAACAAGCAATAGATCTTAATCCAATCTCTTCCATTTAGGATGTCTACAAGAGGTTAATTGAAGTAGCATCTGCTCAGCAGCATGCCTCCTGAAGGAACTCAGAGCAGATCACGGTCCACCCTTGGGCCATCTTCCATGGCCCAGTAAAAAGAGAAGTGATGATGTAAAATTACATACTTTTCATCTCAAATCCTGCAAACATACAGAGCCGAGACACCAGTTTTCGTCATTCTTTCCTACACACATCAGTTCTGTTCAGTAACAATAAAACTGTTTAGCTATTCCATATTCTTTCTCGTCAGACAACTATTTCTCCATGGTGAAGTTACATTGAAGTTACATTGGTGAAGTCACCAATAATGAAGACCCAGCACCATAGGCACTACAGACAATGAAGATCATATCATGATTCAGCAGCTGCCAAAAGCCACTGCATTTCTCACCTCATTATCTATCATTCAAACAAAACTGAAATGCTTATTTACTTGTCTTTGAGGGATGGACATCTTGATAAATTACTATGCTCTGCGTGCCTTGTCCACCACAGATTTTGTCACTGACTGAGCAGCTTCTGATATTTCATCTGCAGATTACATGTATCAGATGGAATTTTCTCTCATGCAAAAATTCTAGAAAATGCTTAGCAGAACACACTAATTGTTCCACACAGAAAATTATGCAAGGAAGGATAAGACTTTGTCTCCAAGAGATCTCAGTTATTATTGATTAAAAACCCATGCACAATTTCACTCTGAAATAAAGTGAAAATAATTTCAAACATTGTATGTTAACCTATGTTTGTATTTAACTAGGATGAAGGAAAAAATCCAATACATGAAAATAATTATGTTAATTTTTTTTTTCATAGAATCATTAGGATTATAGCTATAGATAAACCTGTGACTTCAAGATGCAAGTGAAATGGCACAGGTTATTTCAGAAATACATTGTTGAATGCTTTAGGTAATTATATTGGCCACCTTTCTTTGTTATACCCTTTACTCACAAGAAGTAAAAAGGGGAAGCAATTGAAAATAAAAATCAAAGAATCAGATAAAAAATTTATCAGAAGAAGATTTATATGTCACACTTTCTTAGAGAAGTGTAAATTCTTAGAGATTAAGATGATGGTGCCCTGTTTACTGAGTTCTGTATAAATGTCTTGACACACAATAAATATTTTATGAAGTAAATGACACAAACACTTCATGGTAACAATTTATCTCCTCTTTAAATATCTATGCTTTCCTACATCCTTTCTGGAGAGACAATTGCCTGCAATAGTAGATATTTCAAAATAGTAAATTCCAATAGTCCTTGTGTAAAAACAATGCTGATCTCATGCTTCTGATTAGTCAGAGAGCTGGCAATCACTAGAACACATTTTGTAAAAGGGACCCATAGTAAACTTAACCTCACACCTCGTAAAAAGCTTTGCAGTCATCCCAGTAGTGGCTCTCAGCATCCTGTAAAATACTTGTAGCACAAACTCTGATGCAGTAGTTCGTAACTTGAAATTGGAGAATGTTGATGAATTCCTGATATTTTTGGAGAGGCACTAGGAACAGGGGTCTGTTCAGAGAGAATGATTAAAGAGACAATGATTGAAAGGCTGTGCACTAGGATGTAACAATCCCTAGCACAGCAAATAGCTTTGATTAGTGGGTATCAGTCATTCATTTCCTCTTGGTATTGAACCTAGCATTCAGTTTTGCAACTTTTTGTTTCAAAAGTTCTTAAAATATGTCTGCTTGTCTATAAATTCTCATTTAACCAATCATGAAAAATAAATTACTTCATCCTATTTTCTGAGACAAGTACATTTGTCATTCACTTATTTGGAGTTTCTGTGTTGCAGCACTCTTGCATCAGCAATTATTACATCAGCACTGAGTGTGACAAAGAAAACATAAGCTCAGAGTACAGAGATTGCTTTTGATAGGTATTTACTAAAACTCTTTGATAATACGCCTAAGGAGAATTATTGAGCAGTATTTTGGCTCAGACTTCCCACTCACAAAGACACAGCAGGAGACAGTAAAATATCAGAGGGAAAGCAGCTCAACAGTGTATATAACCACTTAGAAGTCATACACTCCTTAGAAATTGTGCTACTTCAGGGTCCCTCCCCAAAAAACCACTGTTTCTACTTTTAAATTGCACTTGGCTAGAAACATGTGTACCAATAGACTCCTAGTACCTAAAGACAAAATCTCCTAAAAACAAGTGCAATTATATTTCCCCCCAGGTTAAACACTGCCTTTGACTTAACACTCCTACTTCATACATTCTCTAATTTTTATTCTGCATGCAATAATTAACTAAATTCTAAAACTACTTCTTTATATGTCTGAATATACATGGTGTTAGCAAAAAGCACAGAAATGTATTTTTATATTGTCCTTTAATATTGCTATGTGCTGAATCAAATTTTATGAAAATTGGGCATTGCAAAGGTCAGAAAAGGATATCCAGGCCTTGTCACTTTATTTATATAAAAGCAGAGTACATTCAGTTCCCTGGACAATCCTATTTTCTCAAATTTAATAATTAAGAAAAATTGATCTGCATATCAAATGCAGATGTTACACGTAAATAATTTGTTTTACAATGACTCTCGAGACTATCAGGTTGATTCAGGTATTTCCATAAATAGTACATATACTGTATGTGCTAAAAAACTATGATGCAATTTAGAAAACTACCACAATACTATATCACCAAAATGGAATGAGCTCTCATATTATTTATGTTTGAATTAACCATTTTAAGTAAAAAGGACGTACTTTTTGCTTGTTTCTCTCATTAAATTGCTATACATTGTAAAATGCTGAAACACATATATCGCTGTGGAAAGGGCAGCATACAAGTCTTGCAGGGGAGCCTTCAAGGGAACGTCTTTGCTTTTCTCCTCTAGTCTTGCCAAAACAGCTGTTGCCACTTTGCTGCACGCCTCTACAAAGTTTGCTCTAATTTCCTGAAGAGAATCATCTCTGCAGGCCAGAGCCAATGGAAGCAACGTGTCGAGTTCTTCCATGATGTCAGAACAAAACTGAGAGAAATAAATGTGGCACCACGTTATTTGTATTCTGACAGCACTGCTTAATTTATACACGCTAGGATAAGATTCTTGAATAATGAAATTAGCATAAATATATAAACATTAATATATTGAATCAGCTTCATAAACATTTTAGTATCTTAAACAGAGGACTAACATTTCTTTAAAGTAAATTAAATATTCTTTCATTCCTTCTTGCTTTAAAGCTGCATATTCTATACCAGGGGGAAAATTAACACCATCTTAGGCCAGTAAGGCCTTCATTCGGTTTTGATGTCATTAAACATACATTCAACGCACAAGGTTAATTCCTTGTAAATAATTTTCTAAACTAATTACATTTGGAAAATACACAAACACATTTTTTAACACTGGATTTGGAAACAAACTTGTCCTCTCTTTATAAATTCATACATTAATCTCCCTAAAATTATTTCCCCAAAGCTCATGGGTTATTTCCAGCAAGCATTCATTAACAGCACTCCAAATCTGCTAGAATAGTTGCAAATCTTACTAAAAAAAGTCTCTCAAACATACCTTTCCTTACAAAAGGGAATTTAATCAAAAAATGGCCTTTCAGCCAAATCAAATAACTCTAAATTGGTTTTATTACTGGTTATGCCAATTAGTTGAATGGCATGTCTAATGATATGAATACAGGAAATCCCCTTACAGCCATATTTCAAAGCTTTCGACATTTTCCCATCGAACCACTTGGTAACAGAGCAGATAATAATCAGAATGCTTTAGAACTTTTTGGCTGAAAAAAATAATGCCAGTGAAGTTTAAAAGTTAATTCTTTCAAGTACAAACTACGGGCTATTGTCTAAAGCTCCATTCAGCTTCACATTGTAATGCCCTTCACTTTCTTCTTAATTCCATTTATATAAGATATAGAATATTAATAGTACTGTAAGTACTTCAAAGTGTAGATAGCAAATGCCTTGGCATTCTGTCTCCCTTCAAACTTCAGATCTTTTGATACCTGCCTTAGCAATTCGTTTTGGTTGCTCCTCCTGTTGGACTGCTCTGCAGGACTCCCTCATTTGCTGGTTGTTTACAAGACTCATTGCAAAGCCTGCAGCTGAACACTCTTCTTTCTGCTCATGTTGAAGAATTTTAGACGAAAAATCCTCAATTGCTATTGTTACACAATGAGCCACAGAAGAAGACAGGTCTTTAAATGCATTTCTCCAGCCAAAACTCAGTAAAATAGGCTGAAAAACATATTAAAATTAAATCAATCTAAAGTCATTACTGAGTGTTAGTACTGTCCAAAAATTAAATTCACATCCATAATTAAATTACAGGACACCGTCATATTTTGAAATTAATTTAAATAATTTAAAATATAGTCCACTAGTGTTGAAATCATACTAAAAGCAGTATTTACATTCAACAAACTGAAGACGCTTGACAACATTAAACTTGTCATCAAATTTTTCAAAAAATAAAATTACTGTTTAAACAAAACAGCTTTAAAAAAAAGTTTCTTCTTTACTTATTTTGTAATCTTTAACATAATATACTTAACAAAGTCAAAGAATTTATATATATTTTCAATATTATAACAAGTAATCTACCAATTCATACCCTGTAATAATTTTCACTGCAAGGTTAGCAACTGGAAGTTACTATTCATGAATCTCAATGGGAAACACTTAAGAGGAGCTGTTTTTAACACAGCCACACTGTATTTCACTTCTCTAGAACTGGATTTAGAAAATATTAAAATGTTTAAATAGAGATTTGTAATTTTTAGCCAATGCTGGCTTTTAGTATGGTTTTACATCAGTTCCTTGCCTTCTTTAAACAGAGACTTCTGAAGTAATCTGAAGTGTAATAGTTGCCAGAAGTAGACACAGTAGGACATCATTACTTTTTGATTTATCTGACTTTGCATTGCTCTTATGACTTACATCAGACTTAAACCTTTCCCTGAAGTGGCCATTTGAGAATTGCACCACTGTAAGAGACATATTTTAATGACATAAGACAATGTTCAGTAAATATCTCCACCATGAGGGCACAGTAGGAGAATAGAAAAGACAGACTCCTAACTATTCCTGCAGCTATAATACTAAACTGGAAGAGAATGAAAGGGTACAAAGTGAAGCCCTCCCAGTTGTCTTCAATTTAAAAGTTGTATCTTCCTTCCTTTCCCTTTCCCCACTAGCAAAATTCAGCTCTTGTAAGCACAGAGACAGCCCCCATAGACATTGCACTCCCTCGTTTTTTTTTTTGATGGGGATCAAGTACAACCAATCTACATAAAATAGATTCTTCTTTGTAATACATATTAGGATTAGTCTTACACACCAATCCAAATCACAATTTGAAAAAAAAAATCAGCATCAAAGCCAAGCCATTAAAAAATTAATTTCCACTATCATTAAGTATCAGATTTATTGCAGCATTTAGATGCCACAAAACCAACAATAAAAATGTGTTTTGTATTAAATGGGAGACAGATAAAAAAAATCTTCTATATACATTCTACAAATGTAGTGCTTATTACACAGCAGTTTGTTAGTATCAAAGAACATACTCATTGTATGAGTACCTATACCTCTAGGAAGAACCATAATGACCAAATTCTAAGAACTTCATCAATCTTCTTCAATATTCTTTGAGATTACATGTATAATACTAACAAAGCTTAATATTTTAGTAATTTTTTCCCATTTTGTTATGCGGTATCTTATAATTAATTTTTTTTTCTATTATTAATTACTAAATACCAACAACTACTTTGAATGCCATAAGATTTTATTCCATCTAAACAGAAATTTTTCACATAGAAGTAATCACAGTAGCTGAAGTAATGAAACTACAGCAATAGGTGTTTATAATGAACATGGTGACAGTCTACACTGGAGACACACACACAAAAGAAAACCCCATACAAAGTGTAGGATTCTTTTCATACTCACCTCTTCTACCTGAAGTAACTGTTCAGGAAGCACGCTGGCTTCATTTGCTCTAGTTTCTCCTATTAAAAGCTCCCCACTAGCTCTCTTCAGAACTCCTGCACAGTATGATAAAAGGATCAAAGTTAAGATTAATTCTGTAGAAAAGTCAGCAGCCTACATCATTTTCTGATATATCAATATGAAGCACAAAAAACCCCTCAAGAAGATAATATTATAATAAAGTCAAATTCAAATTATACACAGTTTCTTTTATATAACATGATGAAATCCACATCTGGTTGTATTTGTATTTTATACAAATGCATATATAATGTGTAAAATATGGTTTCTTTTGTCATTAATACATTTTTATACTGATCGTGAAGTCATCTCTTCTTAGGGAGAATGGATAACACAAGATCTCCTGTATAGAAATTAATTTCTCCTCTTTGTTCAAAGAATTGTATCAACTGAACACTAATATATTTTGTATTTACTTGGAAACACCAATACAACAAGAATAAAAATAAAGTTAATTAGTACAGTTATTGTAAGCAAAATGTTAGCTTACAAAATTATAAAGAGTAAGAGAAGCTTCTTAAGAAGGGCTGGTAAAAAACTCACTCATAAATCATAGAGTAATAGGATATTGCCCCATTAGTTTAGTCAAGGATAAACCAATATCTAGGGTTATTATGACTTTTATCAATGTTTCAAGAAATATGGGTTCCTGAAATACATTGATGATCCGAAAGTCCAAGGCAGCCTTGGCTGCAGTGACCATAAAATAGTGGAGTTCCAGATCCTGAGAGCACAAAGCAGGGTGAAAAGCAAGCTCACAGCCCCAGGCTTCAAAAGAGCAGACTTTGGCCTCCCCAAATAAATGCTTGGAAGAGTCCCATGGAATAAGGCCCTAGGTAATGGGACACAAGAAATTTGATTAATATTCAAAAATCACCTCCGCCAAGGTCAAGTGTTGAAAAAAAACCAAAGAACAGCAGAAGGCCTAAATGCATGAAGAAGATCCTAGCCAAACTCAAACACAAAATGAAGCATACAAAGTGTAAATAAGGCTGGGTAACCTGAGAGGGACACATAAACAACTTCTGACCGTGGAAAAGTAAAGGAAACTAAAACTCAACTGCAACTAATTTGGCCAGGGATGTCAAAGACAACAAGAAGGGTTTCTGTAAAGTATACAGGTGATAAACGAAAGACTAGGGAAAACATGAGCCCATTGCTCAACAAGATGGGGGATGTGGTAACACAGATACAGAAAAGGTTAAGAAACTGAACATCTTCTCCAACTCAGTGTTTACTATCAAGACCGCCCTCCAGGAATTCCGGACCCCAGAGACTAGGAGGTAAGGTTGGAGCAAGGAAGATGTACTCTTGGTGGAAGAGGATCAGGTCCAAGAATAACTAGGCAAACCCAACATATTGAAATCCTTTGGCCTTTGTGGGATGCACCTGCAAGTGTGAGGGGAGCTGGCAGATGTCATTGCAAGGCCACTCTCAATAATCTTTGATCAATTGATTTGACCAAAGGCTAGAAGAAAGCAAATGTCACTCCTATTTTCAAAAAGGGCAATAAGAAGGATTCAAGCAATCAGTCTTGTCAACCTTGCTACAACCCCAGGGAAGGCTGCATTTACAGAGGCATTTCCAGGCACATTACAAAGAATTCATCAGGAGCATTCAGCATGAATATGAATTCTATGAAGAAATGATTGGCCTGGTAGATTAGGGGACAGCAGTGGATATTGTCTACAGGGGCTTCAATAAAGCCCATGGCATTGTCTCCCATAAGATCTTGTTATAGGGCACATGTAGACAAGCTCTTGATATATGGATTGGACAAACAGAAAGGTAAGTTGAAAAGTGGCTGAATAGCCAAGCCCCAAATGTAGTAATCTGTGGCACAAAGTCTAGTTTGAGGCCAGTAATTAGCAATCTATCTCAGGGGTCAATACTAGGACCAATTCTGTTTAACATCTTCATTAAGGATCTGGATGATGGGGTACAGTGTACCCTCAGCAAGCCTGAAGCTGACATCAAACTGGATGGCAGACGGTCATGGTGGCAATCCACGAGAACCTCAACAGGCTGGAGAAATGGGCACGCTAGAATTTCGTAAAGTCCAAGAAGCAAAATCGTGCACCAGGGGAGGAACAAACGCAGGCATCAACCCATGCTGGACCCTTCCCAGCTGGAGAGAAGCTTTGGAAGGACACGAAGAAGTTGAACATCCACCAGTGAAGAAGGCTGATGGTATCTGCATCAGGCAAAGTGTTGTAAGCAGGTAAAAAGAAACGGTACTTCCTGTCTGCTCAACAGCGATGAGCCACGCCTGGACTGATGTGTACAGTTCTGAATTACTCAGTACAAGACAGACATGAACACACCAGAGTGTCTGACAAAGGGCCATGGAAGGTGACAAAGGGAATGGAGAACAGGCTGAGAGCACTGGGACTGTTAGCCAACAGAAGAGAAAGCTAAGAGTAGGATATATCACTAATGTATATAAATATCTGAAAGGAGGGTCCTAAGAGGCCAGAATCAGTCTTCCACAATAACAAAGACAATGGTTACAGGCACAAGTAGATACAAAGCAAGGAGTTTTCCTCTGAACATCAGGAAATGCTTTTTGTAAAGGTGACCAAGCACTGTAGGTGTCCAGAGAGGTTATGGAAGCTCCATCTCTAGAGATACTCAAAAGCTATCTGGACATAATTGTGGGCAACCGGCTATACAGGCCTTTCTTGAGCAGGGATTGTTGCATAATATGAACCCCAAAGGTCTCTTCCAACCTCAACCATTTTGTGATTCTGTAAGTCACAAAGAGATACAAGAATAACACCAAATGATATGGTATTTTAAAAAGCTGTCTTGGAGCATAAAGCTGGTAAACAACACTGGTGCAGATATTCCTAACATAACATACTTCCTATGAAATTAAAAGAAGTTTTAAGTGACCAGGTGCGGTCAAAGCATTGTTAAAAATTATCATCAAGGCACAACCTTAGAGGTCTTCAGTAATCTGAAGCTACTAGTAGTACATGGCCAAGGTTTAAAGAGCTTTTCTCTTTCCATGATATTTCCAGCATTAGATTAAATTAATCCAAAGTAGGCTTTACCTTTCCCCTAATCAATTTGCATTTTTAAAATAAACACTGTTTTTCATACACTTATACAATATTATATAGCTTTGAAGTTTTGGTGGCCTTTTTTTTGTTTGTTTTGGCGTTTTTTTGTACATTTGGGGTTTTTTTTCCCAAATACCCTTTTTGTTTGCATTTTCAAGAGACACTGGCAGATTTGAGCTGGGAAAAATGAAAGATAAAATGGTAGAACATAAAATCAAAAGCTATTAACAGGTCATCCAACTCCCTGACCATTCAACACATTACAGACAGTACTAGAAACTTACTGGGTATTTTTCAGCATGTCTTAGTGTATTTCATGATGAAGTTTCTAACCGTTTTCTTTAGTAATTAGTCCGGAATTTTAAAAACCCTAACAACTCTAACTGACTGGATATTTTCCCTATTTTCTATTCTGTGCTTTCTACCTTAAATTTACCTTTTTTTCTTGTAATTCTCCTTTTTTATATATGCAACATCACATTCTAAGCACAAGTAAGCTTCTATATATTCACATTCTCATATTATTGTCACTACTTAGATCTGCAATTTATAACTTTTTATATCAAGACTTTAAAGAAAACCTTAAACATTTAACCTAAAATCCTTGTGTGTTCACAGCAGTGCTGCCTTACTTGTTAAGAACTCACAGCTGAGATAAATAGGTATCTAGCTGATAGTAGATTTGTGACTCCAGGATCACAGGCAAAGAGCCAAATGATGCTTACACCCATATCAGTCATTTCACGTTATTCTCTTTCATTATTAAATTAACATGTTCTACTAGATTATCCCACCTCCTTTTTTAATTAACAGTCAGGGCACTCCTGCTTTATACTTGTATGTACCTGTGTTTATGCATGTAGGCTTACACATATTAAAAACTTCACTGGTCTTCTCAAAGAACCCTCAGGTTCAAGTCTCCCATATTTTACCGATTTCCTTTCATTTCTCAAATTTCTGCTTTCCCCATATGTCATCTGGGTATGGCTGGCTCTAATCTTTGATTTAACCTCCAGCTAGCAAGGGTTGCCTTCACACTTTGTATTGAACACTGTACACTTAGCCACAGCCCCGCCTCCACTCTTCAGATGCTACTACAAACTTCCTCTCAAACACTATTTCCACAGGGACAGATTATAAATTATACCCTTCCTGTCCTATGACTTCTTCCCTTGCGTGAGAGACTCAAAGGATTAATTGCTCAAAATGATTTGGGGATGTGTGTGAGGGAAAAGGCAGCGAGTGAGTCTGGTGAGGCAGTGCATACACTCCATCCCCCAGAGCCTGTATCCCAGCCCCACAGTGGCCACCAATCCCTGGCACACTGAAGGCAATGCTCCACACCCTGCCCCTGAAACCTCAGTCCAGCCCTAGAGTGGCTAGATGACTGGAACTCCGGTGTGGGAATGAAATAAAGTGGCCCATGAAAGCCAAAGGGTATTTAACCTGAGACACAGGATGAGCACATTTTGACCCTACCTCCTCTTGGAATCTCTATGAGTTGAACACCGCAGGAAACAGGAGTGGTAGTCATGTTTGTTCTTTTCTATATCTTTTCCATCTTCCTCTCTTTCTCTTTCTTCTTCTAATTCCCTCTTCTAGGGATTTTTGAGTAAGAATTAAATGGGTTTAGAGTTTCCTAAGTCAAACGAGCTAAGTTAATGCTTTGAAAAGTGTTTTATGTTGATTGGATGCTGTCATAAACCTTTTGCCAAAGTTCTTTGATATCATGAAGTAAAGTTTTTTCTGTTGTTTTGACCTCTTAAGAACATCTTGTTGGTGTTTGTTCTGTGTGTCTAACACAGAATATATGAAAAACTGCAAGCCCTTTAAAGTGCCTCCTCAAGCAAGGATTTTAGGACCTTACAACTTTGCCCTAATCAGCAAACTCTCCTGGGAAAGAGAAGTATAGCTTTATTCAAGATACAGCTGCTATTCAGCCCAAATTAGTTTGCTACTGCAGACAGGAA